ATAAATTCGTGTTATAGTTCAACAAAAAGTGAACAATTTTTCATGGAAGGAATTAGAAACTGATGTTAACCTGCATAACATTCAGACTAAATGCTTAATAATGGACAATACAAATCAGTAAACGATTAGCACGCACTATATATATATTTATATATATATATATATATATATATATATATATATATATATATATATATATATATATATATATATATATATATATATATTCTGTATAAATTCGTGTTATAGTTCAACAAAAAGTGAACAATTTTTCATGGAAGGAATTAGAAACTGATGTTAACCTGCATAACATTCAGACTAAATGCTTAATAATGGACAATACAAATCAGTAAACGATTAGCACGCACTATATATATATTTAAAACAACTTTTGGCGTGGCTTTAGCGTTGCTTAAAATGATACTTTAAATTTGCGCAGATTTTAAACCTGCATGCATGCAATGCATGCATGAATACTGCATGTATACATGCGCACTGAACAAAATTTAATAGTGCATTTGATTGTGCATTATATACTGATTAGAAAAAAGAACTTTGTCTTTAAACATGCTGATGAAGTATAATACACTATTATTCAAATTTAATGCGAATGAATCATTTCGCCAAAATACTGAGTGTCTTAAAAAAAGAAATTAAACATGTACTTACTTTATAGTGTGCAAACGAGTCAGACTGCTTCTTTCAAGGGAGGATATACAGTGAACGTAGTTATACACGAGTTAATTTTCTGACGTGGATAGAAACTTACTATAATATACACACGGATTAAAGACTTATTGCAGAATGAAATTTAAAAGTTGCATGGTTGTTTTTATGCAGTAATAAACCGGAATTTACAAATATGTTGCTATAGGCTAGGTAACCGCATTGCGCATTTTCTCACCAAACTTACGCATTTTGATGGGAACTTTTGCCAACAGGAAAAATAACAAACTTGTTTGTTTCCATCGAACTTATCGAAAACACTGCATTTTAATTTTACCTTCCGTTTCGAATGGTTCTGCGGTTTTCTACCATGGGCTCCCTCATGCATGCCTCTCCCACTATGGTGGAAAAGATGGTGTTTGATCAGTAAAATTCGTTTGATTACTTAACGTATATAAAACCGGAAAGATTTTTACGTATAATCCGTAGTCTGCACTACCTAAACTGTGAAACAACTGTTTTTCAAGCAAACCCGCCCTAGTCGTAAACGAATAACGTGATATAGGCATATATATGATTACCGACACTTGACCATCATGATCTAAGCAATCAGGCAATGATTAGTAAAATGCTTTGCCTCACTAATATAGATGACTGAAGACTATTTAGTTAAATATTATTATATTAAATAATATGTCCCAACACTAATTTAAATAGTCCCTATTTTTTGGTATTGCATAGTTTAAAAAAAATGAACATAACTATATATATAGTAGTTTTGACTGATTTCGCATTTAGACACTGATATAGACATGTATGGTTGTATTATTTCGACACATGCATGCATGCATGCAGCATGAAAATAGAAACATTACGACAAAAACATATACTGGAGAACTGATTCAGAGTTTTTACACAACTGCTGCAAAATTATTTGCATGCATGCGAAACTAGTCAGTCAAAACTATATACTATATGAGTAGACATGACAATGCATGGAAAATTTTGTCACCATGACTCATTGTGTGAAAAAATATTCCATTGGGACTTGAATTTGAATTTTATTAGAATTTTGAAATTGGGCAGATTACTTGTGCTCAGCAATCCGCGATTATTTATGCATATATATATATATATATGCATATAGCTACATATAGGAAATCGATCAGTTTACAAAAAAATTTTAGTCCCAGTATGATCCTACATGACATATTTGTTATTTTTGCAGCATTTCTTCATATTTTGCAGCAATAAACACGGAATAAAATGTGAAATCCATATTATGAAATTTACAATTGCACCACTAAATCCATAGTATATCCATATATACTATTTCGAGGCTATATCCACAGTATATACGCATGCAAATCCGGGTCCGTACTATAATGCATACATGCATGCATGCACTATATAAACTGTGATATAGAACTGATTTTTAGCAGCCCGTTCTGTCGTGGAGAAATCAAGTGATAGGATTTTTTTTGCATACTTGTGGGCGAAACTGTGACTCGCACAAATATGACCAAAGGACACAGCATGGCTAGGCTAGGCAACCGCATTGCGCATTTGCTCACCAAACCTACGCATTTTGATGGAACTTTTGCCAACAGGAAAAATAACAAATTATTTGTTTCCCATCGTATACTTATCGAAAACACTGCGTTTTAATCTGACCTTCCGTTTCGAACTGTTCTGCATGCGGTTTTCTACCATGGCTCCCTCATGCCTCTTCCACAATGGTGGAAAAGATGGTGTCTGATAAAATTTGTTGATTACTTAACGTATAAAGAAAGGTTTTTATACACATATTCCGTATAGTCTGCACTATACTTAAACTGTGAAACAACTGTTTTTCAAGCAAACTCGCCCTGTCGTAAAGAAATAACGTGATAGATTTTGTGAAAAGTATATGACTATAGCAGATAGGAGTTGACTTTCAGGCCTGAAATATAGAAACCAACGGCCCTTAATATATAGTGCATGATTAGTGAAATTCTTGCTGCAAAATTATTTGCGAAATCTGTCAAAACCATTTCAGTATAGTTAAAAAGTAATGAATTAATTATTTATAGTGTAAGGACATGTCAACGTCAGTGTCACTATAGTGGTTTTGACAGATTTCGCAAATAATTTTGCAGCAATTGTGCAAATGATCTGAATCAGTTTCTCTATATAGCAAGTTCTTGTTGTCATTTTTCTATGTTTCTGCATGAAAAGTACAATTCCAGGATTTCTCTCTCAATGATGCTGCATGTGTCGAAACTATACAATCATGTTCTATATATCTACTCATGCATGGCTGCAAACGGGAAAAAAAATGGTCTTTCTCAATCAACAAATCGCACTTGATTAACATATATAAAATGAGACGCGAAGAGTTTAACCACTCACTTTTTAAATGCCTACGGGGTGTTAATTCGTTAATGACGTGGCTGTATAAGCGCAATTGTAACTCATATTCTCAGCGGGTGAAAAGATTTATACCATTGGGACTTATGCATGCATACATGCATACATAGGAACTTTACATGAAATATTTAATCCCTATATGATCCTATACATGACATATTTATTATTAGTGTAGTAATAATTTATTCATATTTCGCGTATTTTGTTGGAAAAGATGGTGCCTGATAAAACTTGGCTGCTTATTAAATATATAAAATTTGATTGCTTATAAATATATTTTTTATAAATAGGATTTAAGGCGAAATGAGACTCGCACAAATATGACCAAAGGACATAGCGTGGCTAGGCTAGGAAACCGCATTGCGCATTTGCTCACCAAACTTACGCATTTTGATGGGAACTTTTGCCAACAGGAAAAATAACAAAATTTGTTTGTTTCCCATCGTACTTATCGAAAACACTGCGTTTTAATCTGACTTTCCGTTTCGAACTGTTCTGTTTTATACCATGAACCCTCTAGTGCCTCTCCCAATATGGTGTCTGATAAAATTCGTTGATTACTAAAGAACGGTTTTTACATATATTCCGTACTCTGCACTGTTCACCTAAACTGTGAAACAAATGTTTTTCAAGCAACCCCACCCTCTCGTAAAGAAATCACGTGATAGGTTTTGTGAAAAGTAAATGACAAGCAGATATTTGACCTCCAGGATAATGCGTATGACTGGAAAACGACACTTGACCATTAATTAATCTAGACAGTGATTAGTACACACATACACTGTATAAAATGAAAAGACTGGCTTTTTGCACTCTTACATTCATTATAATTTGGCTATCAATAATTAAGGACAAGTCGAATGCGTATGAGATTAATGAATACGCCATAAAACGCATCGATGCTGCGACGAAAGTCGCTGATCAGAAATATGACGTTGACCATACTATGAATCCACCTGAAGTCCGGTATGACATATTCCCGAGCTTGGACGAAACGTGGAAAAATGATGCTAAGTCATATTGCGTTCTTCCGTATATTCTTTTTGATCCATTGTGTCAGTTCAATGCATTTCTTGATGGCAATGTCGTAACTTGTCCTAAATGTAAAGGAGACGACAAAATGAGTAAAACCAATATGCCTGGTCATCTAGTCAACACGAAAATCTGGAAAAATGGGCGGTTACAAAGACTAAATCCTCGTGTCATATTTGATCTCACTTCTCCCGTTATACTGGTATACAAACAGTACTCTTGTAATCGAGGGCATTATGAAATAAATGGTGTAGATGTTGACGTTTTAAAACAAATTGATAACTGCAACGTGTCATTCACTCTAAGTCATAAGTCGGGTTTCACAAACAGACTTGTCGACTATTTAGAAGAGTTACTAGACACAGGTCTTAGCTCCACCCAGATCTGTGAAATTATAAGGCGCTGTTACAAAAAAGCATATTACGAACGGGCGCAACGTTATTACCATGATTTTAACGTTGCCAAACATATTGGTATCACAGACGATCAGGTGCAGAATTTTCCGACATTTGAACAAATGGATTTACCATGTGTGGGGCATACGCTGGTTGCGGGTGCAATTATTTCAAGATTTAAGTCAGAAGAAGTACTTTACCAGCAGTATTTTTCATCAATCCCTGCCAAGTGGATTAGTTGTGATCATACATTTAAAGCCACATCAAACATTGGATATTTACGCGAAAGCGATAAAAAGTGGGTAAAACTATTCCAAAGCTTATTTTGTGTGTTAAATGAAAAGGGTACAGTGATACAGTGGAAATTTACTAAAACAGAATGTACATCAGAGCTAGAAAATGTATTTTGGCAACTTTCACAACGATTTACGGCACAAAATATAGTTTTAGATGGAATCTTCCTGGACAATTGCTGCAAATGGACACAATTCTTGGGCAAATATTTCCCTGGTGTTTGTATCAAGTTGGACATTTTTCACGCGGTACAACGACTGGTACGGAAAATACCAAAACGTTCTAAATATTCTTCTGACATGGCTAAAGAATACGGCTTAGTTTTTCGCCAACCAGTAGACATTGGAAAAGAAAGGTCTTCACCATCGCCTCCAGCTGACGTAATCTTGAGAAACCTACAAAAATTTTGCCTAAAATGGGAGTCTATACAAAGTGCAGCTGGTACGAATGTTCTGACAAAAGAAATGCTAAAAGAAATACGGAACATTAAGGTTCATATCAATAAGGGCTGTTTATCGGACATACCTGTCGGTTGCGGAACAAACAGAAATGAAAGGCTGCATCGAGATTTGAAAAAGATTGTTGCCACAAATCGGATAGGTCTTCCTTTGTTGTACACAAAGATGTTCAGAATGCTTTACAGATTGGCTCAAGAAAAAGAGAAAGAAATACCATCCATTCACGAAATAAAAGCCCCACTACAAAAAGAAATGCTTTAAACGAAATTGAGGCATAATGTAGAGCACTTTGGAGTGGAAAAATCTTTAGAGGAAATAGAAAAAGACAATAAAGAAACGCGCAAAGTGAAAGGACTTGAAAACTTTTCACGTGAAGAGATGAATCAAATCTTAGACGGCATTGCTGCCTTGCAAAAAAACATCGAATATAATTGGATTGCTCTCGAACACGACTATGCACAAAAATTGGATAAAGAAAAATACGACCTATTAAACTTCTTAAAGCAAGGATTGTCACTGTGGAAATCGTCGGAATCTATAAGAGAAATAGTAGGGAAGCGGAAAAGCGTTTACGGACGAACTTTGTTCACAGAGACGCCAAAAGATGTGTTTACGACCGAACAATCACAACAAGATACATGTGTGGAAACCATTGATCAAGAAATTAATTCAGTTGCAATCCAGTGGGGCTTCGATGTTGTCAGAATTATGGGAGATGGAAACTGCTTTTTCACTTCTGTTGCATTTCAAGTTTCTCAATTGTTAACCAGGAGTGATTTGCAAACACATGTGAGGGAACATTTTTATTCTTTGGGGATCTTGCCTGATCTCTCAGTATCCGAAATTAGTAAAATTCTGCGAAAACACCTAGTAGCTGAGTGGACAGGTCCTTTTACAGATGAATACAACCAATTTGTAAGCGAAGACGTTGACTTTCAACAACAGGCTCACGAATTCTTAACCTCTGGTACATTTGCTTCCAGCATTGGAGACCTGATGCCCCTTGGCTTATCTAACGTCCTGCAGATACCTATTCTGGTCCTATCAACGCGAAATCTCGTTCCATTCACAGAAATATACCCACGAACTTCTGTGGGAAATGGAGAGGCAATATTACTTACGTTCAATCACGTGGGACCAGGTCATTATGATGCACTAGTTCACAGCACTCAACAGGATGAACTCGATGAAGTTGAACACCAAAACGAGGCCAGCATTGCTACCGATGAAAAGGATTTCGAAATCCACTCAAGAGTAGCGTGTCGCTGTGGAATAAACTGTATGTCTAACAAAGCTGGCCATTGTAATAAAAATGCATATAAAAGCCGGTGTAGGTGCATTCCACGTTACGGTAGTTGCTGCGACAAATGCAGGTGTAAAGGCCATTGTGGTGAGAAGGGTAATTGCAAAAAAATACATGAAACTTTAAAAATAAAACGCAAATCAAGCAAAAGAAAACAACAAGCAATTGAATCATCACCATTTAAGACCTCTCGCATTTTCTACGAGCGGAGAACAAGATCCCAAATTGAAGAGCCATTCAATCGGCTAGAATTTGTGATACTAATGGTAATTTATGTTGCACTCAAAGGAATGAAACAGGATAAAAACAATAATTATAGCAATGACGTTTGGGGAATTTACAACAAGTTAATTGAACTGGTTTTGCAGCACGATTTTTTGTGCAGTTTGCCACTGTTCAGCAAAACATTGGAACAAGTGCAGAAAAATATTAACAAAAAGAAATAACTTCAAAACATATCCACTAACTGAAGAAAGTTATTTTATATTTCTTAACTAACCAAGGTTCCATACGAACAGTCAGCCGTGTCTACACGATACGATTAGTCGTCTACAATTGCCATTCTCTCGTACGAAAATTAATGCTGACGCCATAATTCCTCATCATTTATAGTCAGGTTCAGTTCATGGAGACATTTCTTTACCGCCGTGTTTATTCGATTACACACGCCAGAATGACAATTGTACGAGAAACTAATCATGTCGTGTATTACGGCCTACAGACAACAGAATCACAATATCTTATTTTATAGAAATATTTCTACCCCTGTGCTTAATTAAACGATTATTTCACTATTCTCATTAAATAAACATATTAGATTCTCATTAAGTAAGGAAGACCCAGATGCGTTGAAATTTATCTTTTCCTCTTCCTCGATTATACTCGTAATCCCTATATATTATGCCTTTCTGAAATAAGTCTTTCCTCACCCTCTCCAATAAACACCCCTTTTTAGGTGTGAAATTTATAATTAAACCATTACTTTCTAATAAGACCTTCCTATTAACCCCCATTGCCATACAAAAACATAGATTTTTCCGCAATACTAATCATAACCAAAATTCTCAGTTCATTTTACAGATAAATAAATAAACCCCTATCCCTATTAAGCCCTGTTTCTCTAATAACAAAACCCAAAAAGTGACTAAAAACCAACGATGGTTTAATTATAGAGACATAGAGCATAGAATCATAGAAGCATAGAATCATAGAAGCATAGAAACATAGAAACACATAGAAGCATAGAAGCATAGAAGCATAGAAGCATAGAAACATAGAAGCATAGAAACATAGAAGCATAGAATCATAGAAGCATAGAATCATAGAAGCATAGAAACATAGAAGCATAGAAACATAGAAGCATAGAAACATAGAATCATAGAAGCATAGAATCATAGAAGCATAGAAGCATAGAATCATAGAAGCATAGAATCATAGAAGCATAGAAGCATAGAAGCATAGAAACATAGAAGCATAGAAGCATAGAATCATAGAATCATAGAAGCGTAGAAACATAGAAGCATAGAAGCATAGAATCATAGAATCATAGAAGCATAGAAGCATAGAAGCATAGAAGCATAGAAGCATAGAAGCATAGAAGCATAGAATCATAGAAGCATAGAATCATAGAAGCATAGAAGCATAGAATCATAGAAGCATAGAAGCATAGAAGCATAGAAGCATAGAATCATAGAAACATAGAACCATAGAAGCATAGAAGCATAGAAGCATAGAATCATAGAAGCATAGAATCATAGAAGCATAGAATCATAGAAGCATAGAATCATAGCAGCATAGAATCATAGAAACATAGAAGCATAGAAGCATAGAAGCATAGAAGCATAGAAGCATAGAAACATAGAAGCATAGAAGCATAGAAACATAGAAGCATAGAAGCATAGAATCATAGAAGCATAGAATCATAGAAGCATAGAAACATAGAAACATAGACAGGGACGTAGCGAAGGTGTGCTGGTTGGGGGGGTGCAATACAGTAATTTACCTGATTTTACACTATTGTAAAAAATTACCTGAAAGATAAACCCCCTATCTTTGGGCACTGCAATGTTGTGGTGCATTTCTCCCCTGCACAGTTAGGCCTATCACCTACATATTTAACCCACGTCTATTTTTACAACATTTTTTATTGCTTTTTCAATCTAGTTTTTCTCCGATTAGAATATGTTTGGTTATTTTTGTTCTTCTATATAAATTAAAGAGTATATAAGCCACACGAGAAGAACACGAGCATATACACACCGAGTACTCCGAATTCCG